CAAACCTGATATGCCCTCTTTCATATGTGGGTCATATTTTCAACCTTTCTGGTTTTTTTTGTGTGTGTGTTTTAGTAAGATTACATGTAGAAGTCAGAAATCTAGAACTAGCCATTAGTAGAGAGATGAAAGAAAAGAGGATGCATAGTAGAATATAGGTGAAATGAAATTACAAAGTGGGTATTATGGGGGCAGAATACTTAAATTTCAATTATGTAGTAGAGTGATAGCAAGAATGGGGGCTTCTGAAAGGTCATTTCAAGTGAGATATTCATGAAGAAACTAAATAGGAACCTATCATTTTGCAACCCAAGTAAATAACACAATAATAGAGGATAGTACAACTCTGTTATACTAGAGTTGTTATTTAGTGTTATAAAAGAATGGGAAATTGGGCCGGGAGGTGGTGGTGCTTGCCTTTAATTCCAGCACCAGCAGGCAGATCTCTGTGAGTTCAAGGCCAGCCTGGTCTACAAGAGAAACCCTGTCTCGAAAAAACAGAAAAAAAAATGGGGTCTTGGATAATGTATGCTTAATGTTTAGATGGGAATGGGAAAAAAGAAAGGAAGAAAAGTGGGACAGTTAACCAAAAGGAAGGATGAAGAAGTCTCATGAAATCCCATTATCTTACAGGTTAATCTTTGTAAGAAATCAGTGAAGGTTTCTTTTGGGCCCTGTATGACTTCAGTAATATGACTGAATAATAGTAATAGTAAAATTACTCAGTCTTCTTTTGTACTTCAATTCTGTCCTAAGCATTTAAAGATGCTTCATGGCATAAAGTCAGGATGTGGCCATCATATAGGTATTGGCTTTCTATATTAGCATTAGCTTCTCCAAGAAGTTGACCTTAGGAGATTTCGATAGCTCTAGCTTTACTCCATTGTTCAATGGTCTTAGCTTCTTCTTTCAACCAGGTCCTCCATTGTAACTGTGGACCAAGCTCCAAGACTGCTGTAACTAAGTCTATCCAGTCTTTAGGGATAATTCCATTGCAAGCTGATCACGAGTTTAACATTTGCTCTATAAATGTTGAATGTTTGCCATCAGAGTCAATTACTTCTGTGAATCTCCTTAAATTTATCATGGCCACAGGAGTCCATTCAGTTCTTACAGAGCCTCTGTCAACTGTCTATTCCTGTAAGGTTACTGGATATATTAAGGTTGGTTGTTTGAAAACCTTAGACTGTTCCTCTCTAACTTTATTATACAATGCTGAAATAGTTTCTTTAAATTCTTCTGTCTAGATTTGAATATCTCTATAATCTGTTTTATTAAGTTTTATAAGGCCTTGGCCCTCATACCAAACAACTTTTTAAGAGATTAAACCATGAATTATCAAAACAACAAGAATTACCAAAATGATAATTAAGAGTATGTCAATCCCGGTTGATTATCCTTTCATTTAATTGTTCCATTTTTAAATCATACATTACATAATCATACAGATACCTAACTTTCTTTACTGTAATTGTTTTTCCCATTTTTTATTGTGGGGGAAAAAACTCATTTAACTTAAATGAGTTAAAACTCTCCCTTTTAAGAATTCTCAATTTTCTCACCAAATCGGCTGATGATGACAATGAAGATGTGAGGCTGACTGCTACTGTGTAGAGCAGTAAAAACCTGACTAGATTTTAAGGCAGCAATCTAGTCTGGCATTACTCCAAGAAGGGGGTTCAGAGAAAGCCTTCTAGGAGAGAAGAAAGGAAAACCTGGCTGATAAGGCAATTACTCAGGCTGTGTGTAGGTCTGGCCTATGCCATTGTGTGCAAAGCCACAAACAAAAATTTTTTTTCATAAATTGTACCCAAAATACTGGCTGCATGATGTAGCACGAATTCTCATTGGTATTAATAATAAGAACCAATACTAGGTGGTGGTGGCACAGGCCTTTAATCCCAGCACTTGGGAGGCAGAGGCAGGCAGATCTCAGAGTTTGAAGCCAACTTGGTCAACGTGAGTTACAGGACAGCCAGGACTGTTACACAGAGAAACCTTGTCTCGAAAAATCAAAAAACAAATAAATGTTTATTTACTTGTATAAAATAATAAGAACCCAGAGACAGATATAGGTGTTAATGCTGAAGGTCATAGAAGCAGAGTGACCAGTTACTTGAGTTCTTTTACCGCTACCAATGTTCAGACCAATGGGGTGATCCTGTCCTCAATGCCATCTTCAGAATCCATCTGTCTCCACCAAACCTCAGACTGAGCTCCTGTCTCCTCTTGACTTATATTCCTCTTTCCACACAGCCATATCCCTTCCTGTCTCTGGTGTGGGACTCTATTGTAGTAAGATTAAAGGTGTAAGCCACTACCACTTGGCCTCTAGTGGCTTAGTTCTGCTTGTCAGGCAAGCTTTATTTGTTAAAGCACAATGAAAATATCACTATAGTCTTTTGCCTAGGACTTAATGGCAGGGAAGCCCCAGATGCATGCCAAACAAAAGAGATCATTGCCCGTGCTTTTGGTTAGACACCCTAAGTACATGATGTTGCTAAAGACATCAAACACCTTGGCTGCAAGAGAGAAAGACAGCAATCTTGAACATACTAGGAAACTTTCCTTCCTGGTTACCTTTCATAGACTGCTGGCCAAGAAATGATGTCAATGGTCTTAGTTACCCCTGGATTCTGCATTTTACAATAAAAACCAACTAGGCAAGATTTGTGCACTTGTACAATACTAGAATGACTGCTTATGGTCATAACCAACCACTCTCTTGATTGGTTTTGAATCCTGTTTCATAGAGAGGAACTCATGCCATAATCACAAACCAAGGCTTAAGGAATATAGGTCCAAGGATAGAAACCTATTGATCTTTTATTAATGATCAAGTTGTTAATCTGCCAACTATATATTTGTTTATAATTATCACTTTGTACTTCTCTCACAGTTGATGGCAAATAAAAAGACTCATAACTGTTCTGAAAGTACTAAGAAAAAGTAACTGTAATATTAGCATAAATAAAATTTCATTGTGGCTGAGGGAGGGGCCCATGAGTCTACTTTATCTCCATGAGGGTCTACTGGTAGTTAATGGTGGTTGTATCATTTTATAGTGTAGAGTAAATATTTAGACATTTTCTTCATTAGTTTGGTATGGGAAGTCCTTCTGTATATATATTGTTTTTATTAAATAATGAATAAAGAAGCTGTTTTGGGCCTATAGCAGGACAGAACAGAGCTAGGGCGGAGAAAACTGAATTCTGAGAAAAAGTCAAAGTCAGGAGAAGTCATGTAGTCGTCACTGGGGACAGATGCACTGGAAACTTGCCAGTAAGCCAGAGCCATGTGACGATACACAGGTGAGTAGAAATGAGTTAATTTAAGATGTGTTATCTAGAAATATGCTTAAGCTATTAGCCAAACAGTATTGCAAATAATATAGTTTCTGAGTGATTATGGTGGGACTGAGAGTGACAGAAACCTCTTCCAATAAATTGGCACCCAACATTGTTGTCTGAGGTTTTCTGTTCTTCCTAGTTCCTGCAGTCGTTAAGTTCCAAAGAAATCATACAGAGGCCTACAATATTTATAAACTGCTTGGCCTAGTAACTCAGATTTCTTATTAATTCTTATAACTTATATTAGTCCATTATTCTTGTCCTTGTTAGCCACATGGCTTGGTATGTTATTCAGCAAGGCAGTCACATCCTGCTTCTTCTGTGGCTGGGTCATGACTCCAGAGAGAACTTTCCTCTTCCTAGAATTCTCATTGCTCCACCTCTACTTCCTGCCTGACTTCTAGCCAATCATCATTTATTTAAGATATAAGTGACAGGGTACAAACCATTGTCCCACAGAACAACATGGGGCCCAAACCCATGACCCTGAGATTAAGAGTCTCATGCTCTACCAACTGAGTCCTACAACTACAACAGTAGTTCAAAATGGATTTCTGCATGCCCTCAGGGATCTTGTTTAGTTTTCTTTTGCCAGATGGGGTTTCTCTGTATAGCCCTGGCTGTTCTGAAATTTCCACCATGGCCCAAGCTGTGCTCACTGAGATCCACCTACCTTTGCCTCCTGAGTACTGGAAATTAAAGGCATGTATCACCAAGCTCAGAGTGCTTGAGGATTCTGTTTGTGATAAACTCATGTTGTCTCACATACAGCTAGCTCATCTCTTTACAGCTTTTCACCTTCGTTATAGTTTAAGTTTTAACCCTATTAAAGATTTTGAAAGTGAACAAAAGATAAGTATCTACTAGAACATTTCCTTGTGTTTTATCTCATATTGTATTTGTTTTTATTTTGGCAATTTTAGCATTAGGTTAATGATTTGTCAAATTCAATGTGTATGGTGGGTGTGATTCCAGTGAACAGAAATATATGGGGATTATATATGACATGCCTTTAGAATTATGAATTTTGTGAGGTACAGTAGAGATCTTTGTCACATATTTTTATGTTACTACCATTTACTTGAGAGGGTATATGTACTTATCAGTTCTGGTGCTAACTACATAAACCAGGATAGTCTCACATTAGATGTCTTCTTGCCTCTGCGTCCTGAGTGCTAGGATTAATGGCATGCACTACTTAGTCTACCATTATTATGAATTCTTGAATGTTGAACAAGATGAACAGTTTTTAAGGTCATCTTGCTTAGTTTTCAGGACAGGAATTCATTACATAATAGCCTTGGCTAACCTGTAACTAGCTGTGTAGACTAGGATGACCTCAAACTCACATGTATCCACCTGCCTCTGCCTCCCCAGTGCTGAGATTAAAGGGAGGTGCCATCAGTATTGCCCCACTAAGCTAAATGATTTTATTACAGCTTTCCCAGGGATCAGAGACATCGATTAGTAGGTAAGAGCACTGGTTCCTCTTTCAAAGGACCAGGATTCAATACCCAGCAGACACATATGAACTAACAACTGTTTGGAAGTCCAGTTTTAGAGAATTTCATGCACTCTACTGGCATTCACAGACACCAGGCAAACATGTAGTGCACAGAAAGAGTTGCAGGCAAAGAACCCAGACACATTTTTAAAAATTCACACAGCAAGTAGTACACAATTTTATTTTAATATAAACTCTGATCTTTTTTAAGATTTAAATCTTCTTTAAGGGCTTTTACAGTTTTTTATATTTATGCTTCTATTGTGTATGATGTTGGGGTTTATAAGCAGAGAATAATGAGAAATGCCCTGTCACATTATGAGAATGGTATTTTTCTCTCCAGCGTGAACTCTCTGATGTCTTCTAAGACTCGAAAGATAGATATAAGACATGTCACAGTCTTTGCATTTGTGAAGATTTTCTCCAGTATGAATTTTCTGATGTGCTCTGAGGTAGGAGAACCTAGTAAAAGATTTGTCACATTCCTTACAACTGTAAGGTCTCTCTCCAGTATGAACTCTCTGATGTGTTCTGAGATTTGACATGTGGCTAAATGATCTGTCACATTCCACACATTTGTAAGGTTTTTCTCCAGTATGAAGTTTTTGATGTCTTCTAAGGTTTGATATCTGACTAAAGGACATGTCACAGTCTTTGCATTTGTAAGGTTTCTCTCCAGTATGAATTTTCTGATGTATTTTAAGACTAGAAACCCGGAGAAAGGACATGTCACAATCTTTGCATTTGTAAGGTTTATCTCCAGTATGCATTTTCTGATGGGCTCTAAGATATGAGCATGTAGTAAAAGGTTTGGCACATTCCCCACAACTGTAAGGTCTTTCTCCAGTGTGGACTCTCTGATGTGTTCTAAGATATGAGTTATGGGTAAAGGATTTGTCACATTCCTTACATTTGTAAAGTTTCTCTCCAGTATGAATTTTTTGATGTGCTCTAAGAGTTGAGAACTCAGGAAAAGATTTGTCACATTCCTTACATCTGTAAGGTTTCTCTCCAGTATGAACACTCTGATGTCTTCTAAGATGTGAGCACTTGATAAAGGATTTGTCACATTCCATACATTTGAAAGGTTTCTCTCCAGTATGAATTTTTTGATGTGTTTTAAGGGTTGAGTTCACAGTAAAGGATTTGTCACATATGTCACATTTATAAGGCTTCTCACCAGTATGGATTCTGTGATGCCTTTTGAGATGTGATAATTCAAGAAAGGACTTATCACACTCTTTACATTTGTAAAATATCTCTAAAGAATGAGTTTTCTGATGCCATCTAAGAGATGCATAGTGTGTAAATGCTCTGTCACACTCGTTGCATTTGTAAGGCTTCTCCCCAGTATGCAGTCTATAATGTCTTCTAAAGTGTGAAAGTTGATGAAAGACCTTGCCACATTCTTGACAACTACAATGTTCCTCAGCAGTATGGATTTTTTGATGTGTCCTGAAACTGGAATGGTGGGCAAAGGATTTGTTGCATTCCTTACATTTATAAGGCTTCTCTCCAGTATGTATTTTTAGATGGCTTTTAAGAGCTGCAGACTGTCGAAATGACTTTCCACATTCTTTGCACTTGTAAGGTTTCTCCCCAGTATGAAGTCTTTGATGTATTCTAAGATTTGCACACTGGTTATAGGACTTGCCACAAAAGTTGCATTTGTAGGGTTTATTTCCATTATGAATTCTCTGATGTATAGTGAGACTTGAGGCAGTACTGAAACATTTCTTGCATTTCCCACACTGGTATGGTTTCTCTTTAATGTAGATTGGTTGTTGCAAAAGACTGTATGTAGAGTCAAAATAGACATCATATTCTCCCTGCCTTTGTTCTTTCTTTGCAGTGTAGAGTCTCTGATCTTGATTAATGTTGTAACACAAATTTAAAGATTTCTCACAGTTCTTAGGTTTGCAAGGTTCTTCTCCAGTGTGCATGCTTTCATGTCTATCTAGGTTTGATGAGCCAAGAGAGGCATCACTGTGATTACTACACCTGTAGTTATTAGAGTTTTCTGTAGTTTTACTTGTTCTATAAAGTGCACATGTGGAGGGGTCATGAAGTACTTTGCCAAGCTCATCACACTGACAACACTCCTTTTCAGTCTTCACTTGTTGATGGACAGGTTCACATTTACAATAGTTCTCTGAAAATGAGTAAAATTCAGAATAATAGAGTTTGGTTCAAGATTAAACATTTTATTAATGACTGTCTCTTTAAGATGTCTCTTAAGGTAAGTCTACCAGGAAATAGACATTTTTTTTACTGTAATTTTAGGTATTCTCACAAAACAGCCTAACAGTCTTCAAGTGTCTATGATTAATAATAGATATCTCATCTTTACAAAAAAATGTCTTACAGCACAGGACAGATCATATAATTGAGGAATCAGTAACTAGCTTTGGTATACAGCTCACTGACTGATTATATTTAGAAACATGCCTCTATGTTTAAATATTTCTTCTCAGAAATTGAGAAACAGGAGCTTAATTCAATCCCAGGTTCACATTATTTACACTTACTAAGTGATAGTCCATGCAGAGTACTGTTCAGGAGACCCAATTCCTTTAAGAATTAAAGTCTAATTTAAAGGTATCACAGGGTTTATTTCTTTTTCTAGAAAAACACATTAGATTCTTCAAAGGTAATAAATGAATCCAGGTGGTGGTGATGCACACTTTTAATCCCAGCACTCAGGAGGATGTCTGTGAGTTTGAGGTCAGCCTGGTCTACAGAGCAAGTTCCAGGACAGGCTCCAAAGCTACACAGAGAAACCCTGTCTTGAAAAAATGGTGTGGGGGTGGGGGAAGGAGGAGGAAAAGAAAAAAAAAATAATGGATGTAAAGACAGTATTCTGAATGAATAAATAAATAATAATAATATATAAAAACAGACAGTATTCTGACAGACATCAGAGGCTGTGGATCATTTTAGGCAGGGCTGTCATGGGCAGCTATTGCTAATTTCTATCCTTCACTGTCTCAGCTCCACACACTGCTGTGTTTCTTAATTTTCCTGACAGGGTTATTCTCAAGTCCACTCTGTACACCAATTCCTGAGAGTATTTTCCCAGAATGGGGTTTTTGTGTTCTCCACTGAAAAGAAAATGAAGATTTTTAATATGAAGACACAACAGCAAGGAAGGCAATTACAGAATAATCCTAATCCATGGACTCTCACATTAGACTTAAAATTTAGAAAATTATTTCAGTCTCATTTCAGCATAGTCAAATAAAACTTCATTTTGTACTAATTATTAAGTCATCATAATTCAGGTGCAATAAACACAAGAGCTTCTAACAGAAATCACAACAGACCCAATGTATCCTGGAGCCAGAAGACTACACTAAGGTAGATGATCAAGAGTCTTTTCAAGTGGAATTGAATATCACAAAAACATTTTCAGTTCTTATTTTCTCTTTAACTGGAAGCCATGATTGTTGCCCTGTTCATTCACTAGCCCACCCTCATTATGACTACTCTCTTCTCTCAACATTCCAGGGCAGTCTCATTCTCTCTGCACGGGTGACCAGGCTTGCCTTGCATACAATAATCCAAATGTTCTGTGAGGTAACCCATGACCCATACTAGAATTTTAGAAAGAATACAGACATCTAACAGTATTCTGCCCTTACATGAAGAGAACACATAGTAGATGAATACAGGAATGACTTCCAATTGTTATTTCCTGTCACAATCTTCAGCATATTTAGGGAGAATTTTTAGTTTCCATACCTTGAATTTCTTCTCAGAATTCAAAACCATGGCAGTACAATGATGGACATGGAGTTCTAAAATATGGGTAAAAATACTATACGATACTAAGTTTCTGAATGCATTCTGGAACCAAAAGGAGGGGTGTGTGATACCGCTAACATGGAAAATGAAAAGAAAAAAGTAAATTCCATGAAAAAGTTATTTTCTCCTAGCAGTCTTTCAATAGTCTCCTATTGTTTCAATGGCAGCTTAACCGAGTTTATAACCTGTGAAGTCAGTACATACAAATGATGAGATAGGAATTCTAGAAGCAAAATGATCTTACCCACAGAGACCAGGTTGCTGTAATTCTCCAACATGACATCAATGTACAAAGCCCTCTGAGCAGAGTTCAGGCATTCCCACTCCTCCTGAGGGAAGTCCACAGTCACATCCCTGAAAGTCAACAGACCCTGAAACAAAAAAGTACAGTTTGAGCAGGTGATCCTGGACAGAGTGCTTTCCTAGACGTAAGGAAACTTGAGGAAATGTAGATGAGTGAGGACAATTAGTCAACCAAAAATGATTTCTAATATAGTCACCTTGTATAATAAATTTCTTAACTCTGTGAATATGGAATGAAACAATAGTCGCACATGCACATACACAAAACAACAGGTATTTAAGGATGAACATGGTTATCTATCTTTTATGGATGCTGTGTTTATGTCCTACAGGGTCAGAGTGTACATGTGTCAGAACTCGATAAGTATATTATAACATGCTAAGTATGTATGTTTAAATTCTAGGTGCAATGCTAGTCCATTAAAGGGAAAGGAAGGCAGAATTCATTACTAACTTTATAGGCAAAGAATTTTGTTTTTCTCCCCACCGTAATATGAGTGTAACAGCACTGTATACTATCATGTATACTATCATGTTTTACACTAATATATAAGAACATGTAACATATAACATAACATGTGGGATTGCTTTCATAAGAATATTTGAGACAGTACCAAGCAGATAGAAAAATCTACATCAGCCACATTTGATAAAATCTAAAATTTTAAGAAATAGGCATAAGGCAACTTAGACAAGTACAATTTCAGAAATTCTGAAGAATACTTCATTCTGAAAGAATTATGCAAATTGAGCGAAATCCAAAACCACACCTAATAATAATTTCAGTTGCAGCTAAGTTGTACATGTACATATATGTGTGGTAACTGAGAACGCATTCAGAAGTGACACAGACTTCCTGTGAGTAAATGAAGATATTGAATTGTTTGAGAATTAGAGTCACTTTTCAGTGCTTTCCTAATATAATATAGCACAGAAGAATGGCTCTGGAGAAAAGTTGAGCTATTGTGTCTGAATTTTGTAGTCCTCAATGTGATTTTTAGTATTTACGCTGTATTGAATGGGAGTGAATCTGTACCTGAAACATTTTGGATAGGGGCTCATACCTAGAATTTACTGAGAATTACATAAACTAAATACCAAGGAAATAAAACTGCTAATCAGCAAATAGGCAAATGAAGTGAACAGAAACTTTTTTTTTAAGACAAAAAACACAAATGGCCAATAAATATTTCAAGTCTTCAGGATCTTTAAAATGCCATCATGGAAACACAAACTAAAATTACTTTGAAATAGTGCATTACCCCAGGCTGAGAATGGCTGTCATCAACTAACCTGACACCAAATATTGAGAGAATGTAGAGAAGAAAGGACCGTCATTAACTGTTTTATGTGTGGCGGTCTGTGAAATACATAGCCATTGTGGGAATCAGTTTGTAGATTACTGAAAAAAATTGAAGATGGAACTAATTCATGACCCAGGATTGTCACTCCTGGGAAGATAACCAGAGAACTGCACACCCCAACATAGAGATATTTACACCCCAGATACATTGCTCCATTATTCATCATTGCAAAATTATGTAATCAAGTAAATTGTCTAACAAAAGATGAATGTACAATGAAAATGTTATACATATAAAAAGGAATATTATTCAGCAGAAGAAAAAAATGTAATAAAGTTTGTAGGAAGATGGAAGAATTTAAAATATGCAATAGTAAGTGAAGTCATACAATAGCAGAAAGAAGAAACCATGTTTTCCCTTGTCTGTAGAATCTAGTCAATCACATGTGTATATGAAAACAATGTGCAAGTGGGCAGAGCAGAAAATGGAGAAAAGAGAACAAGAAAGGTTAAACGTCAGAGTTGAGGTAGGACTGAATGCAGGTAATGAACACAGTTTTGAAAAAGGATATTAAGCTAAGTGCTTTTCTAGTTCTAATTTCATCAGGTTTTCTTTTTCATAGTAGACAAGTTCAGAAAAATATATTTGATAGTGAAAATATAAAATTTCATGTGAGGTTCAAGAGCTTCTGTTCCCAACGACTACTCTAGCTACATTAAAGTACATCAGGATGCATACTCTGTAGGTCTGGTTATTTTCAGTGTGTAATTTTGTTCTTGTTTGTTTGTATATTTTCTATAATAAAATTTAAAAAATAATCAGAACCAGAAAATTATAGGTTTGCAATGTCTGAATATACAACATTACTAGAAAAGGAGAGGACATGACCACTGACCTGGGACATGTTTATTGGAGAACCAGCCATTTCTTTCTGTTTCTCTTCTTTAAGTTTCTCTTTCAGGAGCAATGAATAGATGGCTTGTTGGCCTTTTACATTAGGGATCAAAAAGAAAAAGAAAAAGTTAATACTGAAAGGACGTCAAACCACATGAAAAGACCCACGCAACAAAATACACAAGGTATCTGACCAGTGATCCCAAAGTCAGAAAATCATGCAACAACATTTTAGGATCGGAGAAAAAAAATCACTACCAAACATATTATTGCATCAAAAAAAATCCTATATTAAAACTGATGGAGATGTAAGTGCAGTTCAATGTATTTTTGAAGTAAAACAATTCATTTCAACAAAGCAGGACAGAAGACAACACATCAAAAGCAAAATATATAAAGGAAAAAATCAGAGGAATTATCTCTAAGGAAATGGGAAACAATAAATTTCATTTGAAGAATAGATAAATATAGGAACTGTGAAGTAATAAACCATGAGAAAGACAGCAAACCACTAATTCCCATGGAGAAGGAAGAGGAATACTGTGAATAATTAAACCAACATCATCAAAAGCAAAACCATAGGGATTAAAAGCCCTATCAAAAAAAAAATCTAGCCACTCTCAAAATCAATATAGAAAATCCTCAGTTAAGTAAATATAGCATATGGCCCAGATGTTCCACTCCTTGGCAAATGCTCAAAGGATTCAACATCCTACTTCTCAGACACTTGCTCAGTCATGTTCACTGCTGCTTTACTCACAATAGCTACAAAAGGTAAACAACCTTAATGTCCTTCAACTAACAAATGGACAGTGAAAGTATGGTACACATACATTATGGAATACAGTTCAGCTGTAAAGAAAATTGAAACCATGAGCTTTGCAGGTAAATGGATGAATCCAGAAAAATCATTCTGAGTGAGGTAACCCAGATCCAGAAAGACAGACAATGGTTGGTCTCTCTCCTAGGAAGTTCTAGCTTCAAATCTTCAGATGTGAGTCCACAACCTGGAGTGACTGTAGTAACCAGGAAAGTAAAAGGAGACCACAGTGGGGTGGGGGTGGGTAATAGAGAAGGGATTAACATGGAACAAGTGGTCTGAAGGGGCAAATGGAAAAATGGGGAGGAATTTAATTATGGGAAAATGATAGATATAAATACTGGAGAAAAGCAGTAAGGATGTCAAATAGTCATAAGGAATCCATCTATTCCTTTAATATTATCCATCTAAGGAAAAATGCCTAAAATACATGTCTGAATATTTATATTTTAGAGTGTAATGCTGATAACTCTCTCCACAAGAGCCACAGATTTTCTAACAAAACCACCTACACAAGGCATGAGAAGTTGTTGGTTAAAGCTGTGTAAGAGACTCCCTAACCATTATAGGCCATTACTGTTGCCCATGGTTGCCTCCCAGAGGTAGAAGGTTGAGTCTCCATTATTGAAGAAGTCATGTGTAACATGAGAGGCCTGCTTGTTGGGGTTTCTGTCCCGCCCGGTACTCCAGAACCGGAACTCCCAAGGAAAATCACACAGAGGACTCCATAAGGTTATAAACTGATTGGTGCATTAGGTCAGGCTTCTTGTTAACTCTTATAACATATGTTACCCCATTATCCTTATCTACATTAGCACATGGCTCCGTACCTTTCTCAGCTGGGCAAGTTACATGCTGCCTCTTCAGTGGTCTGCGCAGGAGTGGCGAGAGAGCTTCCTGTGTCCCAGAAAACTCCCAGTCTCTTTGCTCCACCCCTACTTCCTGTCTGGCTTTCCCGCCTATACTGCCTGCCTGGTCAATCAGTGTTTTATTAAAATATGATTGACAGAATACAGACAATTCTCCCACACCAGTCATGCAATTCAGTCACAGAAGACAGAGGACTAGAGTTGAATCAGAACTTAAAACCTTCTTTCTATAGATTAGCTTTTATGGTACCTGAAGGCAACATTCAAGCTTCCAAGGGAGGGAGCCAGCCAACAGTCCTAACCCCTTATGACAACCATGAACCACAAATATGATCTGCTATTCATGATAACTGTAAGGGTGCAAGAGTGGCACACATACCTTGATGGTAACCAACAGTTTCTAATTGGACTTAAGACCTTTCAAAGAACAGGGAAACATGACTGCTACTGGAAACCTAGCTAGTTCCCCTAGGGCTAGTGTAGGCACAGATCTTGGAGGAGAACTACAACTACTACATTAGTAAATCAACAAAATCCTTAATTGTATCCTAAAAATTTTCCTTATTCCCACAAATAAATGTAGTTCTCACCACTCATCGAGACAAGTTCTTTTTGAGAACATGAATAGAGATTTTTATACAAAATCACAATCAGTCAAGATGTAGCGTTGTGATGCTCAGTTCCAACTGACACATAAACAACACAACTTCTTCACCAAAGCTTAGGGGTCATTGAGAGACAGGGGACGGAAACAGTGTAAGAGCCAGAAGAACAGGACATTTGCTTTGACACTGTGTCTCCTAGAAATGTCAGAGAAGCTACATGCTTCAAATCTCACAAATGGCTGTCTAAACATGAACAGAACAAGGACAACACCAAGAGACATGCTAACATGCAAAGAGAAAGCTCACTAGGCCTCAACCCTAGTCAAACCCTAAGGAATTCTGAGAGCTGGAGAAATAGTCTTCCCTAGAAAAAAGAGCATCATATGGCTATCTAACACCAAATGTTTATATTCTCTGTTCAAACTGCATGACATTTAAACTTCCCACAATAACCTTCACAGAAATTGTAAAGAAAACCCGAGAATTTATGTTGACACAAATTCCCTGGGTACACAGCACTCCAGAAAAATGTTGCAAAGCTCGAGTTACACCACTCCGGTTCCAGATCAGACTAATGCAATAGCACAGCAGATCCAGAACCTGCCTAATAGCAATGACCAGGGGAATGTTAGCAAAATTACACAAATACATGTTGTAGACTGGATAGTCTCTTCAAACAGTGGTATTGGGAAAAGTATTTATCCACATAGAAAAACATGAACCTAGGTTCAAATTTCTCCTACATACAATGAATCAGAGACTTTCATATATGGTCTGAAACAGTGAATCCTACATAGTAACACAAAGGGGTAACAATTGATACAACAGCAGGAACTGACAAATAGAGCTGTGTAAAATAAAAAAAAATTCATGGAAATCAATTAAAAGTATGAAGAGACACCCTACAAAGCAGATACATTGACTGGCTATGTATTTATAGTACAAAAAGCCAAAATCTATTAAAAAAATTCAAAGGGAGGAAATAATAACATAATCAATAAATAAGCAAATGAATTGAGTAAACCGGACTCAACAGCAATTATAAGGGTCAATATGTACATAAAAATAAAGTATAGATCATAAATAATACAAATTTAATATACAGAGATTCCAAATCTGCCTAGTCAGTGTCCACACTCAAATTCCTAAACAATAACAAATGTATTTCTTGCAGTAATTTCTTGAAATGTAAATAGATAGCATTGCACTTATTTTTATCTAAGCAAAAGGTATAAATACATAATTCAAGGAAAGAAAAATGAAAGCTGATATTAAAATATATACTTTTATGAGAAAAACTCACTGCACATCTAAAGATGCAAAATACTGAGAAAGAAGAAATTTTTTTTTAATGCTATGACTATGGACAGCAGTAGACTTACAATAATTACAATAGTGACAGAAAGATCAAGATAAAAGTATCAAAATACAGAATAAAGAGTGACAGCAAATGATAAAAGGGTCCATTAGATAGAAAGTCTTTGACCAACAAGAGTACATGTCACAAAACTGGGAATGCAGATATTCACAGCAGACAGAAAACAGGAGAATACATAAAATATGTTAAAAATTGGCACATGCCTAATGTTCTTTTCAAACACAACAAGACAACCTAGAGGGAGGTCTGTCTTCTCTAAGACTCCAAAAAATTCCTATCTGAATCCCATTAGCCTGTTTTACAGAGAGTAATCCTGAAAGTACCAAGGAACAACAGAGGCAGAAAATACTAAGAGGATTAAACTCAGAGGTGATCTCTCAGTATATTAGAATTACAGCAATGGAAACCACAAGGAATTGTCATGACCATGGACACCAGGCAATCACCATGGGAAGACAGTACAGATGGAGTGGCAGTCTGTAAATATACTTTCTGATTTCTTATAAAACTATGCTGGTATTATTTTCAGAAATAATGGTGACATTAACACTAAAAAGCAGAGAATGTGCTAGAATATCAAAAGCTTCAAGATTGTGAATGCAATAAATAAGCCTAGAGGTATTAATTTGATTATTTTATAATACACTAAATTCATAGAAATGAAAACCAGTTAATATGGAATGATGACAAGATCAGTGATATGAACAAATAAGGACAGTATCCCTCACAATTCATTGATGTAGGATTCCCCTCTTTACCCTATGAGTATGTTTTTTTTACCACCGGTTGGTTAATAAAGAAGCTACTTCAGCCTACAACAGGGCAGACTATAGCCAGGCTGGAAGAGATAGACATAGAGAGAGTAGGTGGAGTCAAGGAGACACCATGTAGCTACCAAAGGAGAAAGACACCAGCCACCAGCTTGAACCTTACCAGTAGGCCACATCCTTAAAATAATTCACAGATTAATAGAAATGGGTTAATTTAAGATGTAAGAGTTAGCAAGAAATATGCCTAAGCTAGTGACCAAAGTGTTGTAATTAATATAGTTTCTGTGTTATTATTCAGTCTGGGCAGTCAGGAAACAAACAAGCAGTTTTCATTCTACAATGCATAGTCAAATAAAATTTATTTGACTCCTAGTATCAATTCTTCTGTAGAATCTGTTTTCAAACCTACAACAGGATAATTCTGTGATCTTTCTTCATGGAAGTCTCCAGAATATTTCTAGTGAAACAGAATTAGGCAAAACTGATTTCATATCCCGCTTCCACATTCACTTGAACCCCTTGCCATCCCTTCTGCAATCCCTCCAAATACCTGGATCCTTAGCTACAATCTCCACCCTCTCCATCTTCCAGACCTCCTTGTTCTGCAGCACAAGAGAGCAGGTCTGGGTGGTCAGTTAACCCTGCACATGAGAAAGAGATTCTTCAGAAAGCAGCTGGATTTCTAACACAGCACTGTGCTCAGTAGATGAGGAGAAAACTAAATACAGAATTATACAAGTGATTCCCCAATTGTCATCAATGTCAGAATGCTGAAAACATTTAGAAAGCCTTTTCAGTTAGTGTAATTTGAATGCCACTTCCAATAACAGCTCAGTCAAAACTCAGGTTCAGAAACAGAACTGAATTATTGGGACAAGAATATTATACACTAGTGACATTCTGAATTTACCATAGCCCCAATTTGATAGAAGCCTTAGATCTCTCAAAGGGTCACACACTTGCAGGGTAATTTGCCAAGACACCCTGAGGAGGAACAAGGGAGTCTGCAAGCAATGTAGTCTCGCCCATAAAAACTAGAATGCTGCAATTCTGCAACATCCAGTCTCTGTACAAAACCCTCTGAGCAGGCGCCAGGCATGGCCCCTCCTCCTAGAGAAGTCCACTGTCAGACCACAGAATAAAAAAACCAACAGTTTCAGTTCCAACAGTTGTGTTGGTGCACACCTTTAGTCCTAGCACCTGGGAAAAACAAGTGGGTGGAATTCTATGAGTTCCAGAACAGCCTGGTCTACCTAGTAAGTTTGGAGGCAGACAGAGCAATGCAGTGAGTTCATATATCAAAATGAAGCAAATTCAAGAATCAAAACATAAGATTGATCATGCGTCCATGTGCTGAGTGATTTTCTTGAGGTAAGGAGACAAAAGGCTACTTTAGCTATTTTTCTGATGTAGATGAGTTATTGTAATTATTCAAAAGATGCTTCCTAAGATTATTTTATACGATAACACCTTTTCATTCTTTTTTTCGTTTTTCTCCCCCGAGACACGTTTCCCTGTGTAGAGCAGGCTGTCCTTAAACTTGCTCTGTAGACCAGGCTGGCAAGGAACTCCCAGATCACTTGTGTATGCCTCCCAAATGCTGGGACTGAAGGCGTGGCCAGCGCCACCATGTAGCTTATAATACCTTTTGTAACTGTGAAAATACTGTGACCTAATACTATAGAAAGCATACTGCGTTTTTCCCATCTTTAAGCTGCACATAAAGAACTCAGCAGAAAAATACACATTTTTTTTTTCTTTTCTCTTCTTTCCTTTTTTGAGACAGGGTCTCCCCCATGAAGCTGTGATTGTCCTGGAACTCATTAGGTAGACAAGACTAGCCTCAAAATCTTTAAGACCCACCTAGTCTGCCTCCCCTGTGGTGGGATTAAAGGTGTGTGCCACCAAGTCTACCAAAGACACTTTTTAAAAATGCTCTATTTACATCACAAAGTATACACGTGTCATATGAAAATTTAAAGGCAAATAAAGTTTACTTTTAAACGTTAATGTTTACAACCATATCTATGGAGTTTGCAAAAAAAATATAGTTTCGGATTTGCAGGCGTTCATTTCATGACTAATATATAAAAGAGCTCTAGAAATGCAAAATCCCTAGTTCAGTGTGCCATTCTCTTGAATAGCGAAGTGGTGTAACACGAAAGTTGGCGTAGATGAACGTAAATTTGAAGAGCTTTGTCCTGTCCACCACAGCCAGAGAACTGTATCTACAAACATCAACACATAAATTCAAATATTCGAATAGACTATTTTTTATGAGAATATTTTAGCAATCAGAAGGTCAATGAAAAAAAAAAAAGACCTGTCGTGATTGGTTCAAGTCATATTATCTAAAATGTACCGACGAGGGCAAGAAATCCATAGTAGAATTTCAGAGCCAGTTTCCTTATGAGCAGCGGAGAAACAGCTCTGGTCACTTCCCTTCTGGGTCGCAGCCCCGCTCCTCTTCTGACCTGGGAGGTTCCAGGGCCGCCAGGCTGCGGTTCCCCCACTGCGCTGCTGACTGCTGACTTTCCAAGGCCGCCCCGGCGTGGAGATTGCGGCTCCGGGGAGTTTTCGCGTCCCCGTGTCTCCAGGCCATGTCCTCCGCACCCAGATCTGCACAACGCGGATTCCCCACCGTGCAGGTCCCCGACAGGGAATAGATACTCGTCCCTTCTGCTTTTGCTCCTCCGAACAACTTACCGGCCTCAGCAAACCTCCTTCCCAGTTTTAATCAGGTATCTCCTCTAACCCCGCCCAGCGTTCACTTCCTCTTCACCTGACCAGTGGCAAACGACTTTCTCTAAACGCTATTTCCGGTTGAGTGTCTCCTTCCCAGTGAGCAGGGCGCTCTTCCTGCGTCTCAGGCTTCAATCCACACAGCTTCAGCTGTCAGGCTGCCCTGGACCCGCTCTGCAATGCCTCCCCACATGCTTGCTGCCAGCCTAGAGCAGATCTGGATCTAGGAGGACACTGCACCACTAAATGGTGGTCTTGTGATTTTGCTAACTTAGAAACAAGTTAGGCTTCCCGTGACTCACACACACTAAAGGTACTTTTTAGATAAAATATAATTTTTTAAAATTATGAATGCAGAGAATATCGTTGCCTCTGATGCATAATAAAAGGAAGATATTTGGTACCAGCCCTGCAAAAGTCAGTGGCTCTGGGAACATTGAGGAAGAGGAGTTGAAAGGGAATTATCAGGGAAAGAGGAGGAAGGGCTAAGACATGCCATTCTCTAGACTCCATACAGCTGTTGTAATCAGTAACCAACAGCAACTGTACTTACCTGCATTGACCTCACACTAGACCACAATCAGCCTAGGAAAGGGAAAGGCTCACAGGTCCTACCCTTCACCTCTCAAATGTTGACTATGGATGGATTGTAAGAAAAGAATCACTGCCTTTAGCTCTAGTCCTCTGCTGAACTCAGAAGACTCCAACACAGCTCCTTACCCACTGTACACAGATGCGCCTGGTTAATCTCAGAGGATCCGAAAGGAAAATGAATAGAGAGGAACATATAGAGATGTGTTGGAATTGTGGACAAGGATAGTACAGAGGTAGGAGGTGAGAGGTGAGGGTAGGCAGTATTTGAATTGTGCTCCCACAAACAGAGACGAAAATATGTATGTATAAGTGTATGTGTGTGTAATAGGTAATAATAGATTTTTTTGTTTTGTTTTTGTGCGACAGTGTTTCTCTGTGTAACCTGGGAAGTCCTGGTACTAGCTTTTAAAGATTTTTTTTTAATTTTTATGATTTATTTATCTTTTATTTTATGTGCATTGGTGTGAAGGTGTCAGGTCCCCTGGAACTGGATTTTCAGACAGTTGTGAGCTGCCATGTGGGTGCTGGGAATTGAACACGGGTCCTCTGGAAGAGCAGTCAATGCTCTTAACCACTGAGCCATTTCTCCAGCCCCTTAAAGATTTTTTAAGAGTAAAACAAACTGGCCTTGAAGTTCTAGAGATCAACTAGCCTCTTCCTCAGGAGTGCTAGATAGAATAGAAAGCATTGCCATCTTCCTGAGCTCAGAAAGTTTTTTAAATGAATGTATCAGTCTGTATTTTGATTTTGGTTGTATCATTATCTGATGATTTTATTTATTCATCTATCTATCTATCTATCTATCTATCTATCTATCTATCTATCTATCTATCTATCTATCTAT